CCTGGTGGAAGCACAGATGTAAACTTAGAGAAATGGATGCATGGTTCACATCTTGACCATGGGGGTGCTGCCACTACTTTAGGAAAAACATTAGGAAAAATTTCCAAACGTTACTGGTGGCCAAAGATGGCTGAAGAGGTCAAATCACATTGTCGAACCTGTATCCCTTGTCCTCAAACAAAGAGAACTCCAAATGCAATTCAATTGAGCTCAGTGCCAAACCAGCAAGGCCCTTGGACCCACCTATTGGACAAATCAGTACTAGACCAAAACAACAAAGAACTTATGTTAGGGTGGATAATGGTGTTAATGCTGCACTGATACACCAGGGTTTTGTACCAATCCTTATAATGATTTGAGAGTTAATTAACCAAGATATTATAATACTTATTAATCATCTGCTAAAACATGTCTTAATGATTCATTGTTGTTCAGTTTTTTTTTCTATTTTTTAGCTTTCCACTGGAAATTGGGTGCATTTGACAGGCAATTGACATCTGGTTTTTGCAGAATGGAATAAGCACACATGTGCTACACACACATTAACACAACTTTCACACAGAAAATGCAGAAGTTGATTGCAGAAGATCCACCAACAACATCAGGTCTACGTGCCTACTGGCTATTCTCCACTGTCTGCACTGAGGATCAATGGTGTTGCTTTAGAGCATCATCTGTACCCTGTGCCAAATATGGAGTATATGAAGGAAAAATTTGACCCAACAAATTCCGAAGCCAGTCCTGTGTCCCATGGAATCACCCCATGGATACATTATTGGAGAGGGGAATTATTCAAGTCTGTTTCAGATTAAAGACATACTGAGAATGCGTCACATCTCCACCATCATTAGGCATATTCCCAAAACACAGATCAACAAGGAGCCCTTCCCAAACATCAAGTAGTAGGGAGAGTATCCTGTAGCATCACACTTGGTGCTATAGTTAACGTGAACATGGTGCTTCACTGGCATTTTTTCTCCAGGCCCAATGTTGCCAAATGAGAGAAGGGTCAGATTAATCTCTCTGTTTTTAGGTTACCTTGTGGCTGATATAGGGTCATTCTGGACTTCCATAAACCCATCAGGTAAGCACCTAACTGTTCTGCATATCTGGAATGATTCTTGAATGATTTCTTGGACAACAACTTCATAGCAAATAGACTTAATGTCAGACAACAGAATGTTCTACCACTTACCAATTTTCTCTGTTGGACTAATATTCCTGGATAATAAGTCAGCATTAATGTTGTGCCAGCCAGCATTCAGTTTGGCTGATGTCAGCACATAAGTAAGGGGGTTGTTGTCTGTGTGAATAGTAAATTAGGCTCCATAGAGATTATTGTGGAACTTGTCCACAACTGCCCACTTGAAAGGGAGAAATTTGAGTTGATGTACTGGTAATTCTGTTCCTCAGCTTTCTACTAGCAAATGTCACAGATTAGAGGCCCTCTGGATGCTCCTGATACAACACTGCTCCCAGTCCTCTCAAACTGGCAACTACATGTAGTATGTATGCCTTGTTAGGAACAGCAAATGGTAACACATTTGTCAATGTATGATCTGTTAAAAAGCATCTGTGCATGACTGTTTTCACTGCTGTCCAAAGAGCTCTGACTCTTTATAGTAAGACTAGGCTTTTTTGCTTGGGTTGTTTTCATTCTGGGTTGGGGCATATCCCTTTGTGAGCTCTGTCAAAGGCTTGACAATCAGGTGATTGGTGACAAACCTTCGATAATAACTGCATTTAATGCTAGAAAGGATCTTAACATTTTTAAAAGTTTGTGGGGAGTGTCCACATGGTGACTGCCTCAACTTCAGCCAGGTCAGTGGCAGAGCCATGTGCTGACACGATATGCCTTACATACTTCACCTTTGGCTTGCAGAATTGACACTTGTCCAAAGACATTTAAGCCGTGCCTTCTCCATTCTAGCCATTCTAGGACTTCCAGGAGCCTTTGCTCATGCTCTTCCAATGACCTTCCAAAGACTAACAGGTCATTGAGGTACGTGGGATGGTATACTCATCAGGTCATTGAGGTACATCAGTGCGTGGGATGGTATATTCATTAGGAATGGTGTGACTGTTCAGTGTGCAGTAGTCAACATACATTCACACTGTTCCATTCTTTTCTTCTCCCTGTTATTTGTTGGGGAAGCATAAGGACTGGGGGGCTCTTTTATAATACCAGTTGCAGAAGTTCCTGCAGATGCCTCCTCACATTATTAATATCAGCAGGTGCAAGGTATCTTGAACACTCACAAAAAGGTCAAGTTTCTGAAAGACAGCTGATGTGCTCCACCCCATTTGCAAGTTCCACATCCACATGGAGAGGAAACACAGTTGCTCTTTTAGACAGCTTCTCTTTCAGCCTTTTTTCCACTCTACAGATATTGGTGAGTCTTCAAAACTAATGAGGGCTGGATAAACCACATTTTTACTTGGCTCTGCTTTAGAGGTTGCTTTACAAGATGTCTTGAATACAAGCACAAAATGGTCTAGGGTTTGGGGGCTCAGGGTTGGGGTAAGGATTTGAAGAGGGGGTTTCAGGGCTTAGGGTTGAGATTTTAGGGTTTGGGGGTTTGAGGTTGGGGGGTTGGGGTTTTGAGGAGGGGGTTTGGAGTTTTAGGATTGAGGGGTTGGGGGGTTTGAGGTTTGACCTTGGGTGGATTGTGTTTTGGGGGTTTAGGGTTTGGGGGTTTAGGGTTTGGGGTTGGGGGTTTGGAAGTTTGGGGTTGGGTGGGTTGGAGTTTTAGGGGTTTAGGGTTTAGGGTTTAAGGGTTGGAGGTTTGGGAGGTTGGGGGTTTGAGGTTGGGTGGGTTGGGGTTTGAGGGTTTGAGGTTGGGTTGGTTGGGGTTTGGGGTTTCGGTTTTGGGGTTTCGGTTTTGGGTCTTGTGGTTTGAGGTTGGGTGGGTTGGGGTTTTGGGGGTTTAGGGTTTGGGGGTTTGCGGTTGGGTGGGTTGGGGTTTGAGGTTGGATGGCTTGGGGTTTTTGTGGGTTTGGTGATGGGTGGGTAGGGGTTTGGGGATGGGGGTTTGGGGATTTAAGGTTGGGGTTTTGGGGTTTAGGATTGGGAGGTTGGGGTGGGTGGGTTAGGGGTTTGAGTTTGGGTGGGTTGGGGTTTTGGGGGTTTAGGGTTTGGGGGTTTGGGGTTTGGGGGGTTGAGTTTTGAGGTTGGGGTTTTGGGGGTTTAGGGATGGAGGTTGAGGGTTTGGGGGTTGGGGGTTTTGAGGTTGGATGGGTTGGGGTTGTGGGGGTTCAGGGTTTGGAGGTTGGGGGTTTGGGGATAGGTGGGTTGAGATTGGGGGTTTGGGGGTTTAGGTATGGGGGTTTGGAGATTTGAGGTTGGGTGGGTTGGGGTTTGGGGGTTGGCGTTTCAGGTGGGATGTGTTGGGGTTTTGGGGTTTAGGGATTGGAAGTTGGGGGTTTGGGGGTAGCTTGGTTGGGGTTGGGGTTTTGGGGTTTTAGGGTTGTGGGTTAGGGGTTGGGGGTTGTGATTGGAGGTTTGATGTTGGGTGGATTGGGGTTTGGGTGTTTAGGGTGGGGGTTTTAGGGTGTGGCAGTTTGGGATTGCAGCAGTTGGGGATTTGGGAGCTTAGGGTTGGTGGGCTTGGGGTTTGGGATTTGGGGGTTTGAGGTTGGAAGGGTTGGGAGGTTGTTAGGCAGGAAGTTATCAGCCTGTTTTTGAGTTTGGACCAAGATTTCAATCCAGATTTAAGCTCTACTCAGGAACAGTCCCTAGTTCAAAACAGCTGCTAAACAAACTGAACTCTCAGTGAAAATAATAACAGAAACAGTCTTTTATTTACAGTCAAAAGTCGACACATTAAGCTGAAACTCACATTCACTGTACAGATGACTGATCTTGTATGTAAAGTGGGTACTGGTCTGTGCAGCGGTCAGCTAAACATGTTGAGTTTAGACCACAGAGGAAGACGACATTCAAAAGAGAAGAAAAACCTTTTAGCCACAGTGGATTAAATAAGAGTTAAAGCTAATGCTAATGTTGACAGTAGTATAATAATTAAAGGCTTTGCATAGGGAGAAGGCACTGCTCTGCCAGTTTATTAGGTACATTCATTTTATCTTCTGCACCAACTAAACTCTGAACCTACATACCAGGTTATAAACCTTGCTGGACTAAACACGGAGACTAAACTACAGTAAAGAGGAGTAAACGATGTACAGAGACAGTGACTTTAACATTCACAGATCTACATGAGAGCATCAACAAAAATATTAATAAACACACACATATGCACACACACACACACACACACACACACACACACACACAAACGAGCCAGATAAAAATAAGCCAGACTGAATCCCAGATCAATGCAGTTTGCTGAGTTTATTTATTGGTAATGATCAGTAATCAGAGACCAATGAGAGCAGGAAGAAGAGCAGAAGAGTGACACTCTGAGTGAGTGAGCAACAGAGTTTAAGCACAGCAGGATTTCACACACAGTGATCATGCATCAGGTAGTGAACTTTAGTTCAGGCAGTCCGGATCTGCTATGGCTCCATTGAAGCAAAGCCGACACGTGTAGTGTTGATGTTGTTGTGGATTTTGGTTACAGCGGTAGAGAAATCTGTTATTATTATTGTTTCCCTCTATTCTTCTAAGGCTTGCGCCCAGTTGAGGGTTCCCTTGATCTCTTTGAAATACCCTGTTGTAGACGAAAGCTTTTGGGCCTTGGCGAAGTCTAATCATGTTGAGGGCAGTGAGGATGTTACGGGGTCTTGTCTCGTTTAAGCAGGTTCTTGTACAGGGGGAGTTATAGGTGTAGAAGATCACACAGCCCTGTGGGTCTCTGTTCAGGAGGTCCTGCATGAGTGGAACATTGGGAGGAACCCCTAATGGATTAGAATTAATCAGCAGAAGGTACTCAGAGTGGAAGAAGGGGTGTCGATTTGTATTTTGGTCAATGTTGTTGGGATCTTCTATGAGCGTTGCACCAATCATCCGTTGCCCATTATAGATTCCATTTACTCTCAAGTCATTTCTCACATTATTTGGCTGATCATTGTTAAGAGCCTCCTGAAATTCCAGAAAATTGAAGGGTCCAGTACAGAGATGACTTGGGATGTTGATGGCCACTGCATACTGTCCACCTGGACTGTAGCTAAACACACAAAGAACTGGTCAAACACTTTATTATTCACTCATACTGATTAATCAGAGCTTCTTAATCTTAGAACATTTTACATGATGATTATTTTATATGAACTCTGATTTAATCAAACCCTCAACTTCACCACAAACTCCTTTAATACTACTTCAGTTTGACTCAGCAGGGACGGTCAGCAGATTGATGGTCAGCTTACTTACCGGGTTTGGATGTGACGGATGATGCGAGCCAGATTGTTCTGGTTCACCAGCTGAGCTTCAGCTCCTCTCAGACAGAGAGAGAGAAGACAGAGCAGGACCACTCTCAGAGTTCCACTGAGAACCTGTACACACACACACACACACAAAACACACACACACACACACACACACACCACACACAAACACACACACACACCACACACCATACAGACACACACACACACACACAGTGATAAACCCAAAAGGTGTAATTAATCTGTAATCAATCTGTAATGAATCTGTAATAAATCTGTAATGAATGCTAAATTAGTACTAAACACACATCACATAAAGATCTTGTGAAGGTAGAAGCTGATAAATGGGAGGCTGTATCTCACCATGGCTGTCAGTGCAGGAGGAGTCTGAGGAGCTTCTGTAGATGATGAAGAGCTGAACTTTCTCAGAAGCAAGTACTGCAGAGGAGAAACTGATGAATATTTATACTTATTATGGCTCCGCCTACTTTACAAAACTGATTATTCAGTGTTCACTGATTGGACGAGTGCAACTGTAGTTTTCAAAAAATGTAAAAAAAAGTAAAAATGATGAAACTCAGTTTTTCAGTGTGAAATGGAATAAAAACAGAAAACAGTGTTCAGTAAAGTCTGTTTGATCTGTATTGAATTGAAAAGACAAATATGATATTTCAGGTTTCAGCTCATGAACTTTATTTTTTATTGTAAATATTTGCTTATTCTGAATTTCATACCTGCATCACATTCCTAAACAGCTGCACAGGAGCTTGTTTACTGCTGTGTTACATCACCTTTACTTTAATAGCCCTTAATACTCGTCTGTGGACTGAAGACAGAAACTGATCCAGCTCTAAAGAGGAACTTTTCTCCCTCCTTCAGTTGTACAAGCCTTCACCTGCGCCACCATACGAGGCCCTTGTTTTCGTATGTTGCACTTCATGAAGCACCACATGATTTCAAAAGGATCCACATGCAGAACGTTTCTGCTGTTATTGTGTTGAAATCAGCAGGACAGCCCTGAAAGCGATGGTCTGTCTCTAAAAGGCCTCATGTGTTGCTCCAGAATGTGGTCAGTTAACAAAGTTTACACAGATGAGGAAGTTACCCTCTAACCGCCCCCCCCCCAAACCACACTATAAAACCTGATGAGTGACGTCTCAAAACTGAGTGCCTCCAATGTTTTAGACTCAAGAACTGTTCCAGCTCTAAATAAGTAACTGTAAATGAAATTACACTGTCATTGTGATAAATTCATATTGTATTGCATTACAGAGATATGATCATAGACATTTGTAACAATGTCTTCTCCACCTTAACGTCACTACAGACCATCTCACCGAACACTGACAGTATGGTCCAGAGTTCTGTAGCATTTAGCCTCAGCAGAACCACAGAGGAACTCACTAACTCTGCGATGGCGTTTTAGGGCCACTGTTAATAAAAATAAAAATAGTAGACTTTGAGAATAAAGTTGTAATATTTTGAGAAAAAAGTTGTAGAATTACAACATTAAAGTGTCATTAATACCAGGAAAGGTCACAATATTGTAGCCAAAGTCTTTGCGAAGTGAAGGCAGACGGACTCGGAGGAAACTGTGTTTATCTAGAATAAAGAGCCAGACGGACTCGGAGGAAACTGTCTGTCTGATTTGTTGAAGGAGAATCTCAGGCAGGTCGCCTACACGGCTATTGGGGCTTCATCTCCCCCCATTCAAAGAGGGCATGAAGTTTCACAGACAGTGAGAATGATGATCAAAATGATCCACAGAGAGACAGGAGTGAGTGGAGCTCCGGCGCCAGTACAGCAACCGAGACTCCAATGCGTTATGGCAGCCCCCTACAGTACAGCAGCCCACTTTATCCTCCAAATATTAGGACTTTTTTCTCGAAATATTACGACTTTATTCTCAAAGTCTACTATTTTTTATTTCTATTATCAGCGGCCTTAAAACACCATCGTACAAACTCAGCTCTCTCAACACTAATGTTTCATTTGATTTGATTGGCTTGAAGGGAAGGTAGGCTGGGGAGAATGACAACACACAGACATGCCCATTATGTAAACATACTGTGGCATGCGCCCGCCCCCCGGGCCCCGACGATGACGGCCGCGAGAGCCAGCAGGAACGAACACCCAGCGGCGACGAACCTCGGCCAGTGACGCGTCACTCGCGTCACTCCTCCGAGTGACGCGAGTGACGGCGGGAGGAGGAGGAAGACGACGACGGTGCCGGCAACGAGAGGCACCAGGGCAAGGAGCGAGTCCCGAGCTCCGTCACCTGGGCCCCGCCCCCTGTTATGCAGCGAGGCCGTGGGAAGGCAGAGCAGCGAGCTCTCACTCAGGTGAGCGTCTTTTAAAAGAGTTGAGAGGGAACAGAAGAGAGAGAGAGAGAGGGACAAGCAGCAGCAGCAAGAGATTGAGGAGCTGAAAAGCTTATTTTGAAGAAGACTGTAAAGTCGAGCTGACTGAAGCCACTGAAAAGTGGCCAGCCTAGGTTTTGGTGTTTTGTATTGTTTGTTTGGTTTGAATTAAAGAAATGGCTGCTGCAACCCTGAACCCTGCCTCCAGCGTCCTCCTTGAGCCCGGGGTAGCACATGCCATGCTACACATACGTTACTAAGAGCCAGTAGGAATGGCTATGCTACTTCCTACTATGAGTCTTACTGAAGAAGGCTGCATTGACCAAGCATTTATCAAGTAAAGCTGAGAGTCTAAACTAAATTGTAAGAGGTTTATTCAACTGAAAGGTCCTGTTTGATGGGATCTCTGAGTAGGAAATACTCAAAATAAAAATATGAAAAATATGATATTTTAAAGGAATGCTGTAGGTGGATTTTACCCAGCTCTCCCAGAAAATAGGCTCCCGTGAATGTTTTTACTACAAGGTTGTAAAATGTTATTTATTCATTTTATTTAATAAATTACATATTTGATTACATACCATATGAATTTTTAAATCCTGCTTTGTGTTCATTTCATTTCGCCTCATTTTTTAAATCTGATTTTTATGTCAGTTATTTTATAGATTTTATACTTCCAGTGGGCAGTTGTCACAGAGAAGGACATGTATTTTTAATCTATTATATTACAAGAGTAAGAAACTGTAATTCAGTATTCAGGACAGAGATTGTAAAAATTATGGTAAACAGCTGGAAACCCTGCCAGTGTTTTACTGTATTCATTGAAACTCATGGTGTTTTAATGCTTTTAAATTTGACAGAAAAAATCTGTAATTCACAATACAGTAAAGACACAGTAAAAATATTGGTAAGTAGCTGGAAACCCCTGGTACCAGTATTTTGCTGTATTTCTTGAAATGTGTGGTGTTTAAATACTTTTAATACAACAGTAAAAAACTGTAATTCAAAATACAGTATTACTGTAAAAAAATATAATAAGCAGCTAGAAGCCCTGATCCTAGTATTTTACCATAATTTAACAGGATTTTTATTACAGTGGAATGAAAACTGTCAAATTGTCACTGTTTTTTAGACAAAATCTGCTCTTCATAACAACCAAGATTGCACAAAAATATAAAAAATATTAGCAATTAGCCCATTTCTGCCATCATTTCCAGGTATTTTTGTTTAATGCTTAACAGTAACAGTGTCCTAAAGAGAGAAGACATCCTGAAATTTACACCTGAATGACGAATGTGCCCACAATAGTAACAACAGTTCAACTGTCCAATCATTATTTGGGCAAATTTATTGTTTATACCACAGAAGACACTTGAAGCGTGTTGTAAAATATACCCTTACTGATTAACAGGCAGCTGTTTTGTGCTGATATTTACAGATTTTTTTTTCATTTAACTATGAGAGAAGACAAAAAGCAAGAGAGCGACTGTGAAGTGAGTCTGTGTGTGACTGTATAAAGTCATTGTTCTCATACTCATCTCATACTGCCCGGGTACCCATAACACTACAGCTGATCCTCTGTCCCGTATGTTCAGTGAACAGGAATAAGCCCCAGAACTACTTTCCCTGAGCATGTTCTGTTAGATTAGATTGGAGATCTACCGAGAGTTATGGAACTAACTAAGCCCTGTTCACTGTCCTCCTGACAAGAAATATGTGCTTGTAGCTTTCAGAGAATGCCTAATTATGCCTATTCCTCTCTGATTTCAGGTCATCCAGGTGAGATATGCACCTAGCAGCTGTTGGCTACTCATTATTGGTAGGAGAATATGCTGGCTGATGTTTACAGATTCATTGCACCACTTAACACCTGTTCCTAGAGCAAAACCCCCAGAGCTTTACCTGCAGGCAAACACTCACCTCTAATAGTTCCATCATGTGCCAGGTCTCATCAAGCCATGGACTTTATAACTCATCTTGTAGACAGATTCTCTTGGGGGAGTCAAATTCATCCATTTTTCTAATTTACCCACAGCCTACCAAACTGCAGATGTCCTGTTTAACCATGTTATTAGACTTTTTGACAAGATATAGTATCAGATCACAGTCTTCAATTCCTTGCTCAGGTCTGGATTGACCTTTTTGAACATATAGGGGTCTCTGTTAGTTAAACATCTGAGTATCTCTCTCAGTCCAATGCTCAATGCAAGAGGGTTAATCGAGAACTAGGAATGATTTTAAGGATGTTTTACCATGATAATCAGTCTGATTGGGCACATTTCCTTCCATGGGCAGAAATGTGCCAAAGTTCTTTAGTTAGTTCTGCTACATGTTTGACTCAGTTTCAGTGTATTCTGAGCTACCAACCTCCTCTCAAACCCTGGACTGCTATACCACCTGCCTACCATCAATGATTTTGATAAAACGGAGTGAGGAGGATGGAGAGGTACTCATCACTCATAGAGAGACCTCTGTCTATTAACCTGGAGACCAAGTTTGGATGTCAACTAAGAACTTCAGCCCTTTGAAAATCTCAAAAAAAATGTTCCAGATCCGTTGGATGAGGCCACACCCAATGAGATGCCGCCCCAAACATTTGTCATCAAGGGGACTCCAGTCTACCCTGTCCATTGGCTGCTGAACTCCAGAAAGCGAGTACTTGGTTGACTGGGAAGGCTATGGCCCTGAAAAGAGCCCATGATGTCTTTGATCCTGGCTTGTTGCGGCATTTCAATCTGTGCCATCCAGACAGGCCTGCTCCACGTCCAAGAGTTTGTCCCAGACGTCAACCCAGTGGTTGTCCTGAAGATCAACCCAGTGGTCGTTCTCGGGGTCGTCAGAGGAAAGATTCATCAGTCCAGTGCTGCGGCAGCTTCAGTGGTTTGTCTCAAGGAGTCACTGACAGTTTGGGTGGTGATCACCGTGGTCGTCCTCATCCCTCGACCTGCCCACACTCTTTGGTGGTGAGTACTGTTATGCTTCCTGTCGATGTCCACCTTGTAACAATCTTTGCTCTACTTCACCCAAAAGGATAAGCGGCTTAGAGCATGTGTGTGTGTGTGTATAAATACCTGTTTGCTTCACTCACTCTTTGCTAAGTATCACCCCTGTCTGTAGTGCATACTGTGTTTTTCTGTTGCTTGTGTTGGGATTTGCTTTGTTATTCCGAGTTTGTCTTTGGCTTATCCCTTTGGTTGCTTTTGACTCTCTGTTTGGCTTTTTGACTTGGACCTGTTTTTGACTACTGTTTTACTCAGTCCCATGTATTTGCTCTCCTGGTTTTGACCTAGGCCTGGTCTTGTGTTATGTTTTTGCCAAACCCTCCTGTGATAAAAGCCATCTCAGTTCTTTATCCGTGACTAGAGTACACTGTTACAGAGTGCAACCATACAGGGTCTTTGTGTTGTATTTTGAACTTCATGAAAGCACCACACAATTTCAAAAGGAGACAGGCAAACCACCCTCTAGCACCCACACTCTGATTATGCAGCCATGCTGTTGTAACACTTGCAGAATATTTTTGCCGTTGTCATGTTGAAATAAGCATGTAATGGGGTATTACTGGTTAAGTTGCACCATTAACTCTGAACACATTTTGGAGCAACATACGCTGCTTTTGGATGTCAGATTTCTCAGGGACGTCCTGCTTGTTGTCTCATGACAATGGCAAAACATGCTGCAAGTGCTGCAACAGCATGGCTGCAGAATCAGAAAGTGTGGGTGCTAGAGTGGTCTGCCTGTCTCCTTTCAAAATTGTGTGGCGCTTTTATGAATTGCAAAACACAACAACAAAAGCCCTGCATGGTGGCACTCTGCATCGCTGAACAAACTAGTCAGGTGCTTCTGAATAAAAACAAACAAGACAACCTTAATCACAGTGATATGAAAACAGGCCAAAGTCAAAACCAGGAGAGGAAATACACAATACATGGGGCTGAACATAAGAGAAGTCAAAAAACAGGTCGAAGTCGAAAAGCCAAACAAAGATTCTAAAAAACACCAACCACAGCTAAAAGAGATCCCAACCAAGTCAGAATAGCAAAGACAAAAATACACGAAAAACAGGAAATTCAAAGCACAGGAAAGACAAACAATGAAAAAACATCTTGTATACTCTGTAGAATAGAGCAGTACTTTAAAGATTTTCAGTATTCTGGTGAACTGGAGCCATGAAGTGGCTTTTGTGATTGGTAGCATTTGTAGGTGTGGGTGTCATGTGAGCCCCTGCCCCCAAAGATTCAGGGCTGGGTGAGGGATGAGGACAACCATGACGACCACCACCCAAGCTGCCAGAGACTCTTTAAAACAAACCTCAGGAGCTGTGATGATACTGCACTGACAAATCTTTCCTAGGACAAGCCTGAGGATGACCACTGGGACGAACTTCAGGGCAACTGCTGGGTCAACATCTGGGATGACCTCTGGGACAGGGAGCAGCCCTGTCTGGATGGTGCTGATGGAAATCCGCCACAAACCCTGGATCCAGGTCATAACTGGCTGGAACCCAACTCTTTTTCACAGCCTTTACAGTCAACCAGGTGCTGAAGAACCCCTCCTCTCCTTCTGGAGTCCAGTAGCAAATAGACAATGCAGACTGGAGTCGAGTCCCCTCAACAACAACCAGTGAGTGCGGCATCTCATCTGGTGTGGCCTCATCCAATGGAATGACAGGATTGAGGTGGAAAAGGGTGGAATGAAAATGGAACATGACACTGACTGGGCAAATCAAGCCGGTAGGTAACTTCGCTGATTCCTCTACAGATTTTATCTGAGCAGTGATGAACCAGGCACAGATGCTTTTGTGTAATTCAGTTTTGTTCAATTTTACCTTTTCATAACCCATCATTTATTAGAATGTATTTTTCTTTCATTTTCTTTGATTGTTGTCATTTATTCTCATGAATATGTATAATCAGTGTTTAATGATTTTTCTTTTGTGTAATTCTTTCTGTTCTTTATTGGTAAAATTGATTTATTTCAAATATGGTCCAACTTGATCAGTTGGAAAGCGGGAATTTGAAGAGGTCAGTTGCAAATGAGGTGCATCTGACAGGTAATTGACATCTGATTCTTGCAAAATGGAATAAGTACATGTGTGCTACACACACACACACACATACACACACACACAAACACACACACACACACACACACAGCTTTCACAGACAGAAAATGCAGAAGTAGATTGCAGAAGTTCGACCAACAACATCAGGCCAACGATCAGGTCTACGTGCCTACTGACTATTCTCCACTGTTTGCACTGAGGATCAACAGTGTTGCATTACAGCATCATCTCTACCCTCAGGACCAAATACGGAATATTTTAAGCAAGTAAGTTTAACCAGCAAATTCGGGATTCAGTCACGTGTCCCATGGAAACACCCCACATTATTGGAGAGTGGGAATTTTCCATATGCCTATATTTTCTATATGTTCTTGTTTGCCTAAGATCAGCATCAGGGACTTTCAGGGCGAAATACTGCATATGCAATCTCTAGTATAGATCACTCAAGGTATGTAAGTCTGTGTCCTAGGAATGTAGCCTTAGACAGCAGCTGATGCAGAACTGAGCATTTTTCTTCACTGGATCGTTTGTATTTGCTCACATTGGGTGTTGAGCTGTTTTAATGAGAACTTCAAACCGCTGCAAATTAAAGACACCCTTACATTTTATTGTTGAATGTGGTTTTATTCATAACTGAGCAAGGTCAAGGCTGTGATGTATACATACTTGAGAAAACATTACCTATTTGAGGAAAGTGACCACGCCTTACCTCACCATCTCCAACACTTGCATCTGGGTGCTCCTATGTGTTGGTGGTGCCCACTCCCTATTAAATTATATGGTCAATCATCTGTGTAATCATGTCTTAATGAGTCAGTGTTGTTTGATTTAACCTTTTAATAACCCATCGTTAATTGAAATGTATTTTTTATTCCCTTCATTGATTGTTTTTATTTGTTTTCATAAATAAGTATAACCATTGTTTAACATTAGATGATAAGATGTTCTGTTTGTTATGTGTAAAATTCTTCTTCCTCACGTATGTTCCAATTTGGTCAGTCTGAAAGGGGGAACTGGAAGGGGTCATTTGGAAATGGGGTGCATGTAACAGGTTATCGTTATCTGATTGTTGTAGAATGGGACAAGTACATGTGCTACACTCACACACTTCAGAGACAGTAAATGCATAAGTAGATTGCAGAAGTTCAACCTGAGGACAGTGAGGTCATCAGGTCAGGGATCAGGTCTATGCCACTACTGGCAATTCCTCGCTGTGTGCTGAGGATCAACAGTGTTACATTAGAGCCCAGGCAGCAGGAGAGAGCAGGTAGAGCAGGAAAAGTCCCACCAGCTCTCCAGAAAACACCTGACCAAAACACACACCACACATCAGCCACTACTGCATTTACAAAATACGTTTTACTGTATTCAGCCTGGAGTTGAGATCAGAACAGTATCGTTCTACTGAATTAGTTCAAACTGCTGTCTCACAGTAAACAAACACCTCGATTACTGGCTCTTTAAAAACACAAGTTCAAATAAGTTAAACACAAAATATGATATTCTACAAGCTTCAGTGATGATTTTATTTTTCCGTGCTTCAAAATATCTACTGCTGGATTTAGCCTGAATTATGTTTTTGCATTTACTAATCAATACTGCTGTATTTGTTTAGTATTTTTGCTTATTTTTGTTTATTTTGTTCGCTTTGAGCTGTTTAACACTCTCCTCCTATTTTAGAACACCATGGGTTTTAGATAAGCTTTTGTGTGTAATGACAGGAATGAAGGCTGTGAGTTCACACAAACCCAAAATACATGTGAGTTGATGTGATATGATCAAAATCATAATTAGAGTCTCTACACAAAGATGATTTCCATTTAACACACTTCACACTTCTCACCACTAGAGGCCAGTATTAGTCTGGTTTAGGATTCCTGATCCTCCAGAAAACACATCACAAAGCCAACGTACACTGAGAAGAGAAGTGTGGGCCGAGTCATTGGTGTTAAAATCAAAATCATATTCTTCAGAATCAGGACTGATTGATCCCAGTGGTCATTTTACATATTTTGCACAATGCATGTTGGGTATCACAGTGAGAGCAGTGTAGGGTGAAACTGGTGAGGCTGAGGAATACAGTTCTGCACTAGAGAATAACAGGACAAACAACATTAAGTCCTTTTTTCATTTAAATGTAGTTGATGTGGTCTAATTTTTAAACTTCAGAGCTGTTAAGTTTCCTATAGACCAGGTCTCTTTGTAACTGGACTTAATCTACTTGGACAAAGCTCTACAGAACCTTTCAATGAGAGAGGAGGATTTCAACAGGGAAGGGTAGTTGCTCTCCTTTGCTTCCCATTAGTGTTGGTCCTGTTGTTTAGCAGCACGGTTTTATTAATGTATGTAAATACTGTACATAAATACTCATATAATGCATCAGTAATGTATTTACAAGCATTTACGACATTTGAACACCACAAAGACATAAACACTGTGGTTTAAAACAGCAAGAATGGAGAACTGATTAATGCTTATTTAATAGAAATGATCAGTGCTGTGTACTTTCAAAGGAGACCAATCAGAACAAAGCAGTTTCATGGGTTTAGATTGTTTAAACACAAGTTCTGGTCAAATGTCCCACCGTTAAAGCAAGCGTGACACCCAGCTGTAGTACAGCGATAAAGACGAATCTTTGCGTTTACTTTTGCGAAGTCATCCCGATACTGTTCTGTATCCGCAGTGCCAAAAATTTGACTGTAGACTAAAGCTTTTGGGCCATCATGAAGTGTGAACATGTTGAGGGCCTTGAGAATGTTGCGGCCTGTATTTGTAGCGTTTAAACAGGTACCGAGGCAGGGAGAGTTGTAGGTGTAGAAGATCACACAGCCGTCTTTCCTTTGGTTCAGGAGATTCTGCATGGGGGAGGCATTTGGATCTTTTGGGTTTAGCAGCCAGAACTCAGAGTGGTACCTTTCTTTTGGCACAGCTCCAATCATTGTTGCGCTTTCATATATTACTCTCTTGTTGAAGTGACATATCACTTCAGCTGGTTGATCACCTGAGAGGAAGGTGTCATCAGGTCGGAACCCTGCACCACACATTTCAGCTGGAATGTTGATGGCCACCGCATACTGCTTGTTATCACCAGGACTGTATCTATAACAAAGAAAACAGTTTAAACACATGATGGTCTTATAAAAATACACACGTATTATCTAAGCCACTTATCCTCCTGGGTTGTGGAGTTGCTGGAGTCTATCCCAGCAGTCATTAGGTGGGAAGACAGGAAACACCTTGGACAGGCCGCCAGTCCATCGCAGGGCAGACAGACAGACATACACATTCACTCCTAGGGGCAATTTAGCATCTCCAATTGGCCTGAATGCATGTCTTTGAACTGTGAGAGGAGACCAGAGCACCTGGAGGAAAACCACGACACATGGGGAGAACATGCAGAAAGGACCCTGGTCACCCGGCCAGGGAGTCAAACCCAGGCACTCCTTGCAACAGCACTTAATCTGATACACTAGCATATTAAAATGCTGTGAATATTATTGAGGTATCTATTAGTAACTTAAAGCAGCATTAAAGGAGAATTGGTATTTGTTGCTCTTGGGCTCCCCCTACAGTCAAAGAGCACATTTCTTAGCTTTGAGCTCCCCTTCATGGACAGCCGTACATATGCATTTGTTGACATGCTGAATATTACGGGATCTGACTCCACTTCACATGTATGTGCCTCACGCAGGCATATGGACACAACAGATTACACTCGTGATTTCAGTTGTTTCTATGTGTACATAACAGAAATACTGAGTGTAATCTGTAGCGTCCATTTGCCAATGTAAGCTGCTTGCACATGAAGGGGAGTCGGATTCTGCCGGTGAGACGAAACTTGGCACAACACCAGCAAGAGAAGAAAAAGAACTATGTCAACTTACAAGGTAGAGTAACATCACAGGATGTTATTACAGGAGGTTGCAAACTTTCAAGGCTTATTTGGGGTGAGATTGATAAAGACTGAACAAACTTTTTGGCGTGAGATAAATTTCCTTGCATGCTTTCATAAAATGGGACTGAAGGTATTTCTGCAGTACAAAAACCTACAAAATCTGTGAGACGAGTTACAGCCTACAGCCTACATCACAATCCTTCATTAACAACATCGGTAGGGATGCCATTTACATTGTGACTTCAGATTTTCATTGTTTTCCCGTTAGACGTCTTGCGTGCTTTTGTCTGTTTTAGCTCTCATGAACGAGTAAAAGCCAGTCGGAGATTAACTCTCATTCAATCTCTGTAAGTCACTCTCTTTTTCTCTTCCTCGCTTCCTCCAACAAGTTCTTCAGTCTTTTGGCAGCATCTGACCTGATTTCCATGGTGGGAACACCCATAGACATATCTATGTATTTACCTAGTGCTTCTAACCAGTTAAGTAACATAGGCTACATCGCTAGCTACTGTAGCATGCCTGAAGTTCCTAAAGGTTTTGCCCCCAACATTTTCCTTACTCAACATGATCAGTGAGAGCAAACAAGTATTCAGACACTTTTATTTTTGTTATTGAATAAACTTCCAATGCATATCCACTATAATTTAAACACTCACTTTGTCTCACAATGACCCACACTGTACTAAAATGTTAACACTATATTAAAAATTTAAAAATACTGTCCGGTTCATCAAGGTTTGGATATAGAATTAAAGGACTTTTGTTATTTTAGCTGTCTACCCCCACATAGTAGCTTAAAATACAGAATTTAGGCTTTAATTTGAGAATATTTAAATCCAAATTGGGTGAATGATGCAGGAATCACGACCATTTTCATACATAGTCCCCCTTTTTAGGGGCTCAAAATTAATTGGACAAACATGATCTTGGTCACTTTCACAGTCTGCTTAATTCAGGTCATATAAACTGAGTCTGTTCTACAGTTTCTCATTAGGCTGAATGAATAACCGACTCTAAATGTAGGTATTGTGATATAAACCGAGTCTGTTCTACAGTTTCTCATTAGGCTGAATGAATAACCGACTCTAAATGTAGGTATAGTGATAACTGATAATAAAGCTGGAGAGATCAGAGCTGTCATGTACAGTTAGCAGGTACTGATAAGTTTGACTTACTGCTCAATGTGATGGATGATGTGATGTAAAGTGTTCTGATCCACAACTTGATCTTCAGTTCCTCTCAGACAGAGAGAGAGGGAACAGAGCAGGAACACTCTCAGAGCTCCACTGAGAACCTGTAGAGATAAATCAGTAAAACACAAAACTCAAATACAAAACTATACCAGTAAAATGCCCTCCATCGATAAGAGCTCTTTGCCTTATTGAATGAATGGTAGAGGTACCTGCACCACATTCACTAATGAACTCAGCTCATTATAGTATATATTATTAGTATTATTAGTATTAATAGTGTGAAGACTGTACCTGCACCTCATTCACTAATGAACTCAGCTCATTATAGTATATATTATTAGTATTATTAGTATTAATAGCGTGGAGGCTGTACCTGCACCTCATTCGCTAATGAACTCAGCTCATTACAGTATATATTATTAGTATTATTAGTATTAACAGTGTGGAGACTGTACCTGCGCCTCATTCGCTAATGAACTCAGCTCATTACAGTATATATTATTAGTATTATTAGTATTAATAGCGTGGAGACTGTACCTGCGCCTCATTCGCTAATGAACTCAGCTCATTACAGTATATATTATCAGTACTACTAAATATAATAACAGAATATGTTAAGAGTTTGTGTATCTCACCATGGCTATCAGTGCAGAAGGCTTCTGAGGAGTTTCTGAGTGAAGACGATGATGAGTTGAACTTTCTGAGAAGAAAGTGCAGCGAAGGAAAAACCAATACAGATTTATGAAGACAATAGCTCCGCCCACTTGGCCAAAAACTTGCGCTCAAAATGCTTTTCTGGCAGTTTCAGTCTGACAGTATTATTTATTGTTAGAAAGCTTTTCTGGCAGTTTCGGTCTGAGGAGGCCCCAGTAAAGCAGGAAGTAATTCAACCACACTTCCTGAATACGACTGCACTTCCCTCCATGAAAAGCGCTGTATAAGCAGTGTTATTTTGAGTTAAAGTTGCTGTGCATTTGAAAGCAGTTAAAGAAAGATGGAGCTTTAGATCCAGTTTTTGTATCACAGCACTGGTCATATAGACACTGATCGGATCCGTACTGACTCTAAAGAGCAGCACACACCAGATACTCCACACCATGTAGAGTTGCTACTCTAGTGCCAGCAATACCTTCAGAGACTTTGGAGCAGTTAGGTGCCTTGGTCAAGGGCACTTTAATCATGTCCTGTTGGCTCAGGGGATTAAACCAGCGACCTTACGGTCACAATGCTGGTTCCCTATCCTCCGGCCCTCAACTGCCCTGTTGAGGAATAAAACTACAATTGTACTCGTGTCTATTGTCTGCATCTACCCCATTTAGTCCCAAGTGTGAGAGATGACAGGGTTAAGTGGGGCACTGAGCATCACAGTGATACTTATTTGGATTATGGAAAATAAGAGTGCTGCATTGCTGCCAGATGTCCAGACGGACTGACTCACCTACTCCAGGGGTGACTTGTTACAACTTCGGCGCTCTGTTCCAAGCCACTTGATTTCATACCAGCAGAAATTCGGCCAAGGAAGAGAGGATGTTGAGAGCCCCTATTTCCTCCATCATCATGTGCAATTTGCAATATCTGAGAAACAAGGTAGATGCACTTCATGCTCGACACTCCATGGAAAGAGTCTTTAAGGAAGCCTGTATCATCGCCCTGACAGAGACCTGGCTTGGTGGGGAAGTTTCTGGTGCTGAGGTCAGTCTTGATAACTTTACTGTTTTGCGGATGGACCAGACTAGAGAATCCAGCAAGGATAGAGGTGGTGGGGTCTGTGTTTATGTAAATAACCGATGGTGCACCAACATAAAAATCCACCACAGGATCTGCACTCCAAACCTGGAAATGCTGACTCTCTCCCTCCATCCTTTTTAGCTCCCGAGAGAATTCCTACTATTGTTATAAGCTGTGCCTATGCTACACCAAGCACTGACAATAGAGAAGTGGCAGAGCTAGCGAGCAAGGTGGTTAAGAACATGCTTGCCAAATACCCTTGAGCTCCAGTGCTCATCATGGGTGACTTTAACAGGTGCAGATTGAATCCTCTTCTGCGGTCTTTCTATAAATATGTGGATATCCCAACAAGACTGGAAAACACTCTAGACTTGTGTTATGGGAACTTTAACCAGGCATATAGCACACGAGCATACCTGCGCCTGTCAGATTATAATGTTGTCTACCCTCTTCCGCACTATTGACAAGTAGGGGAGGATGTGGAGGTGGTAGTGTCACGGATTCTCCCTCTGTCCCTCTCAGTGTGTCTTTCGTCCACTCTGTTGTAGATATGTGCCTTTTTGTTTTCTTGTACCATGTGCTTTTGTTGTTCTGTATCTCCTCCCTGGTCCTGCCCTCTTGTTATCTGTTCCACCTGTCTGTGCTCCATCCCTCATTAGTCCCAGGTGGTTTTCATTTCCCCTCTGTGCATTTATACCCCTGTGTTTGTTCAGTCTTTGTCTTGCATTGTGGATGTACTCTGGATGAACTTGTTTTCTTTCATTTTGTAGTTTTGCTTTTTGTCATGGACATGTCTGTTTTTCGGACTTCTGCAGTTGACTCTAGTTTGAATAAAAGCAACTCGCATTTGCATCCCGCCTCCTTGCCTCCACCATTACAGAATTACACCGTTCCCACACAGGGAAGCAGCGAGTTTGCAGGAACTTATTAAGGAGAATGAGGTGAGACTTCAGGAGAGTTACCATCTGCTGCGTCGGCTTCAGTTGTTCTTCCCTGGTAAAGAGAAAGAAGCTTCCTTGCTGCTAGCTCAGCTAGCAGCCATGGCCGTCGCAGCAGGGCCGCCTGCAGCCGAGGATGTCGCAGCAGGGCCGCCTGCAGCCAAGGACGTCCCTGCTAAGCTCCTCGACCTGCCGATAGCTTCCTTATCTCCAGACCTGCCCGTGGCCTCAGGGTCTCCAGTCCCTATGTCCCGAGTTCCTACTCCCTGGGCCGTTCCTGCACCTGCCCCCCAGGCCACGCCAGTTCCTGCTCCTGAACCCCGAGCCAATCCTTTTCTCATTTCCTGTCCTGCTCCAGTGCCGGTCTTCCAGTGTCCAGTGACTGGCTCCCAGCATCCTATTCACGTGCCAGCCATCCAGCGTCCTGCTCCTGCAATGTTTCCCCAGCTCCCTGCTCAAGTACCATTCTCCTTGCCTTTCCAGTTCCCTGCTCAGTCTGCCACCCAGTTCCTTTGCCTACATGAACTTCTTAAATCTGTGTGTTCCCCCAAGTCTGTCCAGCCTCCAGTCCATAGTTTTGTTATTGTCCCTGTAAACATGTATATATCTGTACCCATCTCAATCAGTGTTTCTGTTTCTGTGTTTCGTCTTATTGTACCCATTCCTGTCCATGTTTCTGTCCCTGTCCCAGTAACCATGTCTGTTCCTGTCCCCATGTCTATGTCAACTCCATCTCCTGTTCTGCCATCTTTCCAGCCTCCTTTGCAGTCTTTTGTCCAGCCCACTGTCTGTTCCTCTGTCCAGGCTTCTCTCCTGTCTCCTGTTCTCTCTCCACTTTTGTTTCCAGTCTTATCCTTGTCTGGTCCTATCCAGTCGCGTGTTCCATCTCCTGTCCAGCCCTTTGTTCCGTCTCTTTCCACTTGCGTCTCATCTGTCTCATCCTTCATCTCATCACCTGTCCAGTCCCATGTTCAGTCTACTGTCCAGTCTCGCATTCAACCATTTGTCCAGTCTCATGTCCCGTCTTTTCAGAAGTTTCCTGTCCATTTCCCTATCCAATTTCCTGTGTGTTCCTCTGTCTAGTTTCCTGTCTGTTTCTTCGATGTCTCTTGTCCAGTCCCTTGCACAGTTTAGTGTATGACCCTGGTCTGGTGTCCTGTCCCCTGTATAGTTTGTCATATGTTTACCTGGTCCCTCCTCCTACCCGGCTCCCTCTTTGGGTGGCTTTTGTTTTTGGGAGCTGCGTGTTAGGAGGGGGGTTCTGTCACAGATTCTCCCTTTGTCCCTCTCAGTGTGTCTTTTGTCCCCTCTGTTGTAGATATGTGCCTTTTTTGTTTTCTTGTACCATGTGCTTTTGTTGTTCTGTATCTCCTCCCTGGTGCTGCCCCCTTGTTATCTGTTCCACCTGTCTGTGCTCTGCCCCTCATTAGTCCCAGGTGTTTTTCATTTCTCCTCTGTGCATTTATACCCCTGTGTTTGTTCAGTCTTTGTCTTGCATTGTGGATGTACTCTGTAACTTGTTTTCTTTCATTTTGTAGTTTTTGTTTTTTGTCATGGACATGTCTGTTTTTCGGACTTCTGCAGTTAACTCTAGTTTGAATAAAAGCAATTCGCACTTGCCTCCTGCCTCCTTGCCTCCACCATTACAGATAGACTGTTTTAAGTACTTAGGACCCAATCTGGACAATAAAATCAGCTTCGACCAACATGTAATAGACCCCTATATAAGAGATGTCAGCAGGAGTTTTCTGTAGTTAGAAAGTTAAGGGCACTTGCTGTTGCTCCATCATTGCTCCTGCTCCTCTATAGAAGCATAATTGAGCCTATTATCCTGTACTGTTCAACCTGTTTCTTTACAATGTTAAAAGTGTCAAACATCAACAAACGGTTACGCATTTACACATATTGCCTTAAAAATCATAGGCCTCTCCACACACAACCTGTCAAACCTGAACAATAAGGCTATTTTAAGAAGGGCCACTACAATAGTCCAAGACCCAGATCACCCACTGCACTCTTTCTTTACCTCACTTCCATCAGGCCAGAGATACAGAACATTAGTGCGTAAAAAAGCCTGCTTTGTGTATCTTCAGCCCTATCAGCCCTTAACAAGCTACTCCATTGAAATAGATGTTTTAAAGCTTGCCCTCAAAGAGAGTATCTAATGTATATATACAGGCCTCATGGGTTTAAATGTGTGTCTTATGAATGTGTCTTGCTGCCTGTACTTTGTTTTGTCTTGACAGTGTTTACCCAAATGTATGTAATTTTTCAAATGTCTGATCTTGTATATCCTGGGACAGTGTATGAACAGCACAGGCTGTGAGAATTTCCTGTCTGGAGGACAATAAAAGAATCTCATCTAAATCTGTCATTGAGACACATTTCCATGGAGGGATAAAGACAAGACTTCACAGAATGCGGCTGAGGTCTGGATCCAGGGGTGAAAAAATGAGGCACAGGCAGAGTGAAGATCTAACAAGCTTCCCTCATTCACCAAGGAAGTTACTGTGGATGCAGGAGACAAACAGGAACCATATAGAGCCAGAATTAATCGTTGGACAGGAACAGAAAGTGAAACTTCCTTTAAACACCCTCCTGAGAAAATTCTGAAAAGTGCACAACAGACTTTAGAAACGGGGCTGTTCACTCTGGGAAGAGCTGATTCTCCATGCTCTGACTAAAGACCTCCAAAGATGCCTTTATAACATATAACATATAATATTTTGTAAATAATTTATAACATATATCATTTTATAAATCAACTTTTATAACATATTTTCATGATGTTTTACATAGTCGTCCAGTGAACGCTGTGTTAACTGTTTGAAAAAAGCGAAATCAATGTGAACGTTTAACACACTCGCTAAGGAACATATCTAGCTTTAGATATTACATTGTTATTCATAATGTCTGTGGTAATTAGAGTGCTGGTGTGTTTCAATTCACCAGTGTTGTAGTCAAAAGTCAATCAAAACCAATATGTAAATGAGGTCATACATATTAACTCCAAATGAAACATTGCCTGCTGCAGTTGATGTGAAGAATATTCTCAAATTTCCCCGAAGAAATTCTCAGAAACAGGAAAACATATTTTAAGAGAAGAAGGGCTGGCAACAAAGTAAATATTTTGGTAAAAGTGCTTTAACTTTTTATCGAGGAATAAAGTTAGTTTTTTTTCTCAGAAAGATAATAAGTGTTAATAAAAGAATCAAAAGAACATATAAAAATTGATAATATCTTTTAATTGTTTTAATAAAGTTTAATGCTTGGTAATTTTTGTCTCACATAAGTAAAAATTGACTGTTGAAATTCGAATAACTCTTTCAGCTTTTATTTCCTATATTTCTTAATCTCAGTAATTCAGTTTACACATTTGAAAATTACATTTTTCGCTGTAAAATCTTTAATTCTTGATATCAGAAATAGAATTTGCACACATAAAAATTAAAATACGAACATGTGATTAGAATCTCAACCGCCTCAAATTATTACTATTATTTACAGGATTACAAACTAAAGCTTCTTTCCACACACAGAAGAGGAATTCACCAAACATCATATGTAATGCAGGAAGAAGAGGGCTAGAGGTATAGTACCAGTACAGTCTGCCAATCTGAAATTCTCTTCAAGTCAGTCTTCTTCCTCTTGGTGTTTGAATGATCATCAGGAGAAATTTACATCACAGCAGTTCAGACCTTATTTTTTTGTAGGGTTGTGTTCTTATTAGCTTGAAAATGAAGGAAAAAAATGCCTCATGTCACACAAGTGTAAAACATGCTGCTACCACAGCACTACACAGCACCCCCCACCCCCCCCGGGTCTTTCAGTACACATACCTAGTTTTGATTAACCTCCACAAGACCATAAACACCCCAAAGCCCCAAGACGCTTTAGAATCAATAAAAATAAACCACTGTTTGATGCAGCTGTATGAGCTCATTTATTGATAAAGATAAATTGTGCTGATTGCTTTAATGCAGAGCAGTAAGAGTAGAAAGAGGAAGAAGAAGTACAAGTGTAGAAGAAAACATGTGTTTGATGAGTGCATAGATGAACAAAGCTCAAGTTTCAGGCGTCCAGCAGTCGTCCACTAAAATCTAGGCTAAATAACACGATCTCTGAGGCAGACATTCAGCTTTTACTTTTCCATCTTCAACACAACTGTTGCACACAGTATTATCACAGCGATAAAGTGGAACGTTTTCATTATTTACAGATTGAAAGGCTTTTTCAAATTGGTTTCTCTCCTCTTTACCATAAAGTTCCCTGAAAACCAAAGCTTTAGGACCTTGGTGCTCTCCAAATTCTTTGAGAGCAGTGAAAATATTGAACTTTTTATTTGCAGGGTTTAAGCAAGTGCCGAGGCAGGGGCTGTAGTAGGTGTAGAAGATCACACAACCTTTTCTGTTTTGTTTCAGGAGCATCTGCATGGGGGTCTCATCTGGTTTCTTTTGTTTCAGCAGAAGATACTCAGAGTGGTACATAGTTTTGCAACTTTTTTTTTGTTGCACCAATCAAGGACGTCCCTACATAAACCCTGTCATTGCTATTCATGGCCCTTATTGCTTTATCTGGTTTATCATTCTTGAGAAAACGTTCATCAGGTTTAGAGTCCTTATTTTCACAGTAATGAACTGGAACGTTGATGGCCAGTGCAAACTGATGTCCATGTTGTGGATTGTACCTAAAGAAATATTCAAACACAACAGTATCCTGCATTACAACTGACACAAATACCCTTGATATAAAAAAAAAGAAATAAAAATCTTAATAAGCTTTGTAAATTATATGCAACATATACTTTATGTTTAATGAGCAGAACAACAGAGATGTTTTATTATCATTGGGGCTGTGATTCAGTCACAGTAGATCAACACAGCCATGATTTTATTCGTCATAACATATTGAAAACAGTGTTTTACAAAGTCATACCAAGCAGCCATATAGTAAATTCACAGTTTATAGTAAAGACTTTATTGTTCGTGCTCTGCAATTTGTGATGAGTAAACACAGATAGAACACTTTTCAGCCAATCAGACTGTGAGGACTATGAGGATGGACCTACATGCTTCAAAACAGATTCCTAACTGGTTCTTGTCTTGGCTGAATGGATATAGTAAAACATTTTAGCATAGATGTTTCTGACTATGTGGAGGTTCTTTAAACTTTAAAAGTGATCTTCACACTCCAGAACCTTTTACAAAAATGGCCCTTTTAAAGAACCGTCCATTTAAATCGTCTTTAGGAAAGCAGAAGTACTTGATCTGTGGCATCAATCCAAAGAACTTTGGTGCCTTGTACAAAACTCTTACCTAATCAAACGTCAACATTCAATATGCAGTCTTGTAATGCTGATGTTTCACATTGATCCTTCATCAACAATAAGCAGGTATTAGTAAAATTAGGCTAACCTGCTCTGTTCCTACCTGGTGTGAAGGTCATTGATGATGCAAGCCAGAGTATTTCAGGGTTCACTTCCGGAACTTCATTTCCTCTCAGACGGTCCAGAACTTCAGCACCTCTCAGACAGAGAGAGAGAAGACAGAGCAGGACCACTCTCAGAGCTCCACTGAGAACCTGCGCACACACACACACACACACACACACACACACACACAAACACCACACACACACACACATTATACACACACACACACACACACACACACACCACACACACACACACCACACACACAGACACCACACACATACACACACACATTATTACAGTATTAATAGCGTGGGGGCTGTACCTGTACCTCATTCGCTAATGAACTCAGCTCATTATAGTATATATTATTAGTATTATTAGTATTAATAGTGCGGAGGCTGTACCTGTACCTCATTCACTAATGAACTCAGCTCATTATAGTATATATTATTAGTATTATTAGTATTAATAATGTGATCAGAGGCTGTTTCTTACCATGGCTGCAGAAGTCTGAGTGCAGATGATGAAGAGCTGAAAGTGCTGCAGAGGAGTACCTGATGATGATTTATATAGATAATGACTCCGCCCTCTTTGAGAAGATTATAATTCTCGGTTAGCTGATTGGATGAGATGTCTTTTCGTTTTGAGGCTGTTACACAGCAGGAATATATTTGAAGAAGCAGCCTGGACATTTCTAGAAATATCTCAGAATATTATGGCACTTGAATAATGTAATATTAACTCACATAAGTCAATATACAGAAAGGTTATTGTAAATACTCATAAGGACGTTACTGCTGAGTGATAGTCATCAAATCGTGGCTTGCCTACTTTACATTACAGTACGTACCATAGTAATTACACATTAACAATGTCGTCGCAAGTAACTATGGCGTGGGTATATTCACTGTTACAGGTTGGATTACTACACACGGCTCATATGTCTCAGTTTATTACTGTAAATATTGTATGCATTATGGGATCGTGAGACCGGTGGGAATTTATTTTAATGTCTTTCTGGTGATTGTAACAGTGAGCGTGTAGGGTTGGGAATACATGAGTAAAACTGAAGTTTTAAACATGTGTGTTTACATAAACTGTAACAGTGCTACATCACATAATTACCTTGTTTTTTTAATGTGTACACACAGTGTACTACACAGTTATTAGATACAAAATAAAGTGGGACCTTAAATTCTCATCCAGGAACATCAAATTTTTATTGTGCATAATGTAGTAAAGTATTACTATTACTAGTTTTATCTATGCGGCTTTTTCATATGGAGCATGAAATTATAAACTCGACAGTTTTTTTTAAGAACAATAACAGAAATACTGAAGGAACAGAGAATAAAAATTGATAACCTTATACACATAGCTTCAGAAATAAAGACATTTCCATATTTATATGAGATAGATGTGGACTTCTGTGGTGATTGTGAACTGCAGTCCATTGTGTTTTCACTGATAATACTCCACTGTCATTCCACAGAGTAACAATGTTGAGATGTTTTTTTAGAGGGTTGTTTGTGATTCCTTTGAAATAACCAGACTCAGTCACTCACTGGACTTTTGTATTAGTGTCATCACAATCAACAATAATATATACCATAAAATATATCTGCTTTTCTGTTATGTTTATCAATTTGACTTTAACCAATCAGGTCACTGATGCTCGGCTAAAATATGCTCTGTGATCCATGAACCAAAATCAAATGCATCTTTTCACTATTATTTTATAGCTCGTCTCTCATTTTTAACAGCAGCTGATGCGATATGTGAGCAAATGAGAGTCTCTAAAGAAAATGATATTGTGACATGATAGTGTTGTGGTAGTGATGTGGTAGTGACAATAGTGTTTGGAAGTGTCGTGGTAGTGATGGGTAGTGATATAGTAGTGACAAAGTACACTGCCAGATATTGAAGTGGTAGTGACAAAAGTGACATGGTAATGTATGGTAGTGACATGTTAGTGACATGGCAGTGTTGTGGTAGTGACATGGCAGTGATGTGAAAGTGACTGTTAGTGATGTAGTGACGCGGTAGTAATGTGGTAGTGACATGATAGTGTTGTCACAGTGACATGGCAGTGAAGTGGTAGTGCAGTGTCAGGGACATAGTAGCAGGAAATTGTTAATCTTATCACAAATTTTTCAGACAAGTCCTAAATAACAATATCTCTGACAGTGTATCTTCTGGATTTGAACATTTCACAGTTCTGCATATTCTGTGA